GGCGGATTTGTAAAAAAGTGACATCTACAAACAAAATCTTAATTTCCTCTTCAGACAATCATGTTAAATTATTTTAAAGTACATAGTCGGAATCACCAAGTCGAGAGCTATCTATTGACAATAAAGTTTGATCCTTTGGACATTTAACCAGTGAAAAACAGCACACGGATCTCTCAGAATAGCATTTCCGTTGAGACTATCTAACTATAGTCTTAACGCCCCGGTTAGCCCCACTGGAAAATAACATCTAACTATATCAACATGCTCCTCAGACAATACTCTACTTTTACTGATCTCAGAAAATCTCACATATTTTTGAAGGCCGAATGATGGATTTTTCAGAACCCATACGGATTTTACGGCATTTCGAGGTTTTTCTGGCCACGAAAGCACTTTTATTCAAAAATAATATCATATTCAGAATCAACGTGAAAAACTGCATTGAATGGTGTATAACTCATCTAGTTTCGGTCACTTAATTTTGAATTCTAGAAATTTTTTAGTTTTTGAGATTCACACAAACAATTTCGTGCTGAAAATTTGAATTTCAAGATAAAGTAACCTGAACCACTCGAAACATGTTTCTTGTAGGTTTTCGACAATGCTCTTTCCAGCGGCATTGTTTTTAAATATTGAGAAAGTTTTCTGAAGGCTTTTCCAGAGACCGGATCTCTGGAAAGCTCCTTAGAAAACTTTTTCAAAATCCAACTCTCATGCCATTAGAAAGAGGGCCTTGAAAAACCTATAAAAAAATGGTTCATGAAATTTTAGTTCACTCATAAAGCTAAAGTCCGCCTGCTCTAGCAAAAAATGCCCACTGTGAGGAGGTCACAGTTTTTAGAAGTAGAAAACATCAATTCACCTTTTTGAAAAACAATGTTCAACTCACAATTTATCAGAAAAACGCTAAAGGTGGACCCTCCAGATATCATGCATGTTTAAACAACTAACTGTCAAGATAAGTTTATTTCAGATAGAGAAATAAAAAAATTTATACGCCATCATGTTTTCGTTCTTTTATAAAAAAAAAACTAAGATAACAGTTGTTGTTGGTTTAGTAGCTCGAATTCTCAAATCTTTGGTTCATCGAACCAAAATAACCCATCTGCAGTTCGTATGGAAGGTAAAAAATAATAAGACTGGAGTTCTTTCGCGTATTAACCTTATTTTAGTAATAGAAATTACACCCTCATACACAAAAAAAATCTGGTAGCCCATTTACCACCTCACTCTTCGTAAGGACCTCAAAGAAATGCAATAAGCTTCCCCTCTCTGACGTTATCTTTTTCAATTTTTACTCATAATTTGAAAAATCATATGGCATGTCACAAAATCAGAAATGATTTTTGATTTTGTGAAATACAAATTATAGAGTAAACTTTGGCCAGAATTCTATTTTATAATTTGCTTTCTGTTATTTCTTTTGTTGTTTTAAGTTACCTATTTTCTTTCACTTTTCCTCGTTTGTACTCATCTCTTGTTGATTCTAAATTAACTCTTCTTTCTGTATTCATTTACTAGTACTCTACTTTTTCTTCGCAACATTGTATAGGCATTGTTTTTCAAAATGATCTTGGTTGCAGTCATTGTTTTATCAAAATAAGATTTGAATCTGCCGATCTTTCTCGAACTTTTCAAGGTATTTTCTAGAAAAAATGATATTCTGATTAAAAAACAAATGAAAATATATGTCAATTCGGGTATAATAGCCTTATCGAGATAAAAACTTTGCCCTTATAGATCTATGTATTCGGATTGGAATGGATTAGATAAAAGGTAAAAATCAGTATTATAAGTACATATGTTCGTACACATTAGTTTCAGTAATACCATATCTTCGACTGTTTTATAACAAATGATACCAATCTTTAATTTCAAAATACCATTTTTGCGACCTTTAAGCTTCGTGTGTGCCTCATGACTGATAATAGTAATATAAACAGGTAAAAAAGACCTTAACAGGACAGTATATATATATATATGCAGATGTTATCATATATTTACTCTTTGGTTTTTGTATTGAAAAATAACTCAATATAAATATTTTTAATGTGTACTTTTAGTGTAGTAACATATTATTGAATTTTATTTAATTTTAATATTACAAATGATAATTTTTCACTAATTTTAGTTGAAATGATAAACAACCCTGATCAGATTGAAGCGCCACCGCAATATCGTGACATTCTTCATTCTGACTCAGTCTTTGTCAGATTCCAGGATGGCGAAGCCACTAGAAATAAACTCGATTATGGTGTAAATCAAGAAGCACCCACGCTTCATCGGGGTTTGAAAGAACGACATATGACAATGATTGCGGTTGGGGGTACAATTGGGACAGGTATTTATCTGAGAAACAAAATTTTCGCAGTCATGTTAAGTATCTTTTTGAAGGATTATTTTTGGCATCAGGACAAGCATTGTCCGCCTCTGGACCCGGTGGAATTTTGGTTTCTTATTTTATTGTTGCTATAATGGTTTATTTCGTTATGACAAGTTTAGGTAAGTAATATTAGTGACATCACTTTTCACTTTTCTGAATAAAAACCACTTAAGACCTTTACTTTTCTTACATCATATGACAATCTGTGCAACTCACCGTTACGTTATCAGTTTTTTTGCACTACAAAAATGACGAAAGAGTACCGAATAAACTATATACTGTAGTGTATCATGTTCTCATTAATAATACATGATAGTTCCTCCTTCAAATGTCATTCTTTGGTTAACGTATTGCAGAGTCAACTACTCTCTGTAATTTAGGACTACTGCGGGCTGACTAGAGGTGTGCACGGATACCGTTTTCCGACCCGTATCCGACTTATTCCTAAAAATTTTCTCCTTTCTGGTATCCGCCTAAAAAACTTTTATTTTTCAGCTGGGGAGATGTCAAGTTATCATTACGCTCTCAAGTAACTCTTCAAAGACTTAGTATTTTAGCTGAAATCTTGTACTTTTTTAACAAAATTTCGACTAAAACCTTTCAGATTTCAGGAAAATTTAAAAAAAAAACGGAATCCGTACCTAACCCATATATCAAGATAGGGAATTTGAATATAAGATGATCTACCCGTTCCTTCAAATTGGATCTGGTACGGATCCGGTTGCACATCTCTAGGGCACACCAAGATCTTTTATTGAAACAAGTAGAATTTTAGCTCATAAGCAACAGCTTTCTGCAGTTAAATCATTTCTCTTCTTTTTATTAAAATTTTTTGTCTTTTTGCACGTACAGTCTTATAAACCATGTTTGGATAGGGGCACAAGCTGCAAGAGTGAATCATGTGATATTATTTGTTTATAGAGACGATATTTGTTAATGTAGATAGCACTCAGTTCTCCGAGTTAGTGAATCCGCCTAATATCGATGAATAATGAGTACCTTACGTGAAATCTATACGATAACGCATAATAGAAGTGCCGTAGAATTGCTATGGCAGTTAGATTGTGAGACGTCCGAGGATATATTCGAAATGCCACGACAACATCATGTCACGCACGATGCCACATGGAATTCTGCTTTGAAATGTCTCGTTTCACTTAATGCCTTAATAATAGAACACATTCCATAGTACCTTTTAAGAGACATTTGTTTGAGCCCACAATCTTTCATTGATGAGATGTGCTCTGCTTTATTTTTATTTCCGTTTTCGTTTAGCAACAGTATGTCTAAACAGCAAACTCAGACTTTCATGCAGAAAATTGGAAATACATCGTTATAAGTTATTGTGGCTAGTACCTTGATGATTCAATCCTATTGAAAGAAAAACATCTTGAGCGATTTGACTCCAAGCAAGTTGCACGAATCATTGATATGAACTGCATAAAAGGCTTGAACTATCTTGTCACTTTACATTCTTTCTCAGGGTTAATACCGGAGATACTAAAGAGTATCTCTTCTTTATACGTACATTCTTTTGTTTATATTTCCTTCGGCATAACCTACAATTAAGTGGATATATGCTAGATACTCAATGTACACTGTAATTTGGAATTAATTTCTAGTTTATAGAAAATCGATCTGGAAAATCGTGGAGCTTTTTCTGATATTTCTAAAATGCTCGAAAATTTTCTGACGTTTTAGAAATTAGCGATTTTGTATAAACTGACTTTGCATTTTATTTAGAAAATCGCCATAGAATTTTCAAAAATATCAAAATTCAGCGTCGATTTTATAAATATTGAAATTTCGAGTTTGATTTTCTAATATTCCAGAAAATCAATCGATTTTCTATAAACAATTCCCAAGATTCTGGAAATTCCACATACAAATTCGAAAATGTTGGAAAATCGATTGACCGATTTTCAGGAAAACTGGAAAATGGATATCGAATTTCGAAAATCATGGGTATTATTTATAGAAAATAGATTGAAATCAAACTCGAATTTTGATATTTTGGAAATTCTATGGAGATTTTCTGAATAAAATGGAAAGTCAATTTATAGAAAATCGAATCGATTTTCTAGAAAGTAGAAAATTGCTCTAAAAAGTCAGAAAATCTACGAACATTTTATAAATATCAGAAAAAGCTCCACGATTTTCCAGATCGATTTTCTAAACTAGAAATTAATTCCAGATTACACTGTACACTGAGTATCCAGCATATATCCACTTAATTGTAGCTTATTCCGAAGGAAATAAAAACAAAAGAATGTATGTCTAAAGAAGAGATACTCTTTAGTATCTCGGGTATTAACCCTGAGAAAGAATGTAAAGTGACAAGATAGTTCAACCCTTTTATGCAGTTCATATCAATGATTCATGTAACTTGCTTATAAATAATTCCCAAGATTCTTGAAATTCGATATCGATTTTTCAGTTTTCTTGAAAATCAATACCGATTTTCAGTTGAAAATTATCGTAGATAATACGGTATACGTGGACCAGTCATATTATGTGCAAGTCATGAGTTAATACTTTTGTGTGAATAAAATTAAGCGAAAATTCTACTAGGGATCTGATACTTGAAAAAAGATTGAGTTAATTTCCAGGATCGACGAAGCTCTTTCAACAAAGAATGTTGATTTAACACATCCATTTAAAGCTCACAGATGTCGACAGTCCATTACATCCTTGGCAGTTGCAGGCGTTTTGAATCTTTATCAGGTTTTAGTACTTACTCTTGCACTTACGAGGGAAGGTCCCCAACTGTCCGATCGCTTTCGAGCCGAAATCTAGTGGACTATAGGTAGTCGACCATGCTGATCCCGAATATCAACATGAGACGTGCTGCTAGGCCTCCAGAGAGTGGTTTTCTGG